GTGAAATACTGCATCTAGTTGGGGGTGCATCATGTTCCTACTTAGAGGCTACAGCCTTCTACTGCACCAAACATGTACCTCTGAGTAAGGCTTTCCTAGGGATCAGTGCACATAGATTAAGTTCTGTGCATAATGGGGCAAGGATTTCATTACTGTGCCTTGCACAAGGCTGTCAGGAAATTTCCAAATGATGTTGAATCTGAGTCATATATTAAAAACCCACTGAGAATACAAAACGGTAGAGCCAGCTGCATGGTGCAAGTGGCAGAAAACACAACTGAGCATTTGTAACCTTGTACAGAGTGAAAAGTTAGTGCAAAATGAATGAACAAAGCAGCTGCTGTGTACACACCAATCTGTGCTTCCTTAGGAGTCAACACGCTCTCTCATCTCGCGGTGATGGAAATGAAAGACCTCTCCTTGATGGGCGAGGGACTTCGTGGGTGCTCCCTGCATTCCCTATTCTGTTGCCTCCTGGCTGCAAGTCACCATGCAGCATGGAGCTGGCCAGCTGGCAAGCACAGCAGGAGCTGTCAAATACCCTGGTTATTAAAGGATGTGATCAAGGCTAATATTAGGCCCATGGGCTTTGATTTTGTAGAGGAAGCCTGCTCTTTGGTTTTTATAAACAACACGCTCTTCAAGGTTACAGGATGTTAGTGCCCAAGAGCTGGGGAGATCTGACTCAGCAATGCTGGGCTGGAAAGCTCTCCTCTGGCAGCCAAATTCTTCTGATCAGCTAATTATCTTTTTAAAAGGGGAGAGGGCAACTCTCTCAGCGATGCCGCAGCTCACCGAGCTTCTTTCCTGGCCTACCTCACATCAGTTCCTTTGCCAAGAAACACTTCAGCTAGCCTGACAGCCCCAAATCAAATCTCGTGTCTTTCCTCTATCAGACCTAGACTCAAAGTGCTCCCAGTCTGAGGTCTAGACAACCCCACAATCCCTCCCATAGCATAGAAACTGCCTTTCAAAAGGCCTCTTCCCCTATTAAGGCCCCACTGTTCTTCCTTCCCCAACCCGAGAAGGAGAGCTTTGGCTGACCCATTATGACAATAGCATTTAATAGTAAACCAAATATGGAGATGGAATACAAAAGGAAGCTCAAGGCAAGGATTACAAAAACATATATACATACCATACATTAGAGAAGAGAAAGACAACACTGAAGGTGAAAGCAACAGGGGAAGAGAGATCCTGGTATGGCTTGCAGTAGTTAAGGTGAGGGATTGCAATCCAGACTAGTCAAAAGTGAAAAAGGAATTGCAAAAAATAGAAAAGTGCCTATTTTACAGAGGGACAAGCAAACCCGTGGTTGTGACATCAGCTCTCCAAAAGTGCAGGACATGGCGCCGAGTTTGTTCTTTTACATAATACTCAAAGGAACACAAGTGCTTCAGTTCTTTGCAAGGGAAGATTCAGGTCTCAGAAGAGAGAGACACGTGTGGTAAAACGGGCCCAAATGACCGAGCTGACGGAAATACTCGTATTCTTTCCAGTGGTTTTACTCACATGAACGGATCCATTAGCTTCAGCGGGAGGGTTTGTGAGAGTAAGCATTCATCCGCGTGAATACGTCTCTAAAAATCTAGCCCTTAACACTGGATACAGATTTAGTTATGGATTTAAGCTCAGGCCAGAACTAGGAGGTAGAAATTCTGGTAATGAGCTGCTCTGAGATCAAATTTGGCCTTTCGCAGTCACACCTATCACCTGACAGCATGCTGTTGAGTTAAAACGGAAGAGCCACTAGGCAGCTTTTTGCTAAAGACACTCCACCAGCCAAGCCAGGCCCCCCTGTTTGTACTGCTTGTAAACAGAAGATGTCTTATAATGTGCAAGGCTACAGCGAGGAGAAAGGGCAGGTGGGCGTTTTTCAGCTGTCACAATGCTGTCACCACTAGGAACGTAATTTTGCAAAGCTTCTGCGAACATCAATGGTGAGACTGCTACAGACTTCAGTGACAGCCAGCTGGGCTGCTTGTAGCTGGACTTTCCTAATGTTTAACTTCAGTTCCGAGCTGAGGAGCGAAGGGAAAACAGGCTTTGTTTCTAACCGTAAATGTGACCGTGTAAACCACAAAGCTCCTCAAATGCAGAGTGGGCTGCTCTTTGCTCTAGGCAGGCGTCCTTCCAGTGAGAACCCAGTGGTCTCCTCCCTCCCCACCACTCCCTTCACGATGGACCTCTTGCTAAGATAGTTTGGGGGAAGAAATCTCTAGAGAGCAGAAATTAAAACTAAGGAGGTTATCGCTGGTAATAGGTTTACACACAGTGTCCAGGGACATTGCTCCAGATTTACAAAGGTGTCACCAGAGCAGAATCTGGCCCATAAAGGAGATAGCGTTTTTCTAATCCTTGAGAAATAAAACGCAAGAGGGCGTGCAGGTCTGGGCCACTTCCGCAGGTGGTACTTTGTGCAGTTGGATGCTCACGTCCAAGTGCCTCTAGCTGCCTGCAAATCAAGAGTCCGCTAACCCCACCTTTATGCTTATGGCCATTATGAAATGGATACAATGCAAGCCAAGAGTGTGGGCAGATCTGCCCCATCCCAACGTTAGAGTGGAAATCATCGCAACATCAGCGACAGCCAGTCTAGATGCTCCAGTGCACAGTTGTGAAGGCTTTCCCTAACACTAGTCAAAGGAAAATCAGGCCAAATACTGCACAAATATGTTTTTGAATGGAAATGCATCAATGTCCCAAAATGCCTTTTCTTGCAGCGTCCCTATCTCTTTGTCAAATGTGTCGTAAGTATGTAGCGATCAGCCAGAATTTCCTAGCTGAATTTAGACGTGGGGAGTGCTGGGTCTCCTTATGCTGGCGGCTACCCCTTCAATGGCAGGTCATCTTCACGTATTTACAATTACCGGCTGAAAATTCCAAGGCTCTTATTTCATCCTCAAAAAAGTCGGCCACAGTGAAGAAGTTACTGGGTGGGATCAATACAGCTATTGGTAAAGCTGAACTTGTTTGCTATTGTACAATCTGGGGCATTTCACTCCAAGCTTTAGCTTTTTTCTTGGCCAGGGACAGCCAGGGGGGTTCAACAGGGCTGCACGGTGTCATTGGCAGGTTAGAGGACTGTCTTGTTTCCTTTTCAGCAGTGGGAGCCCCAGATGCTTCCTGAGCAGCAGATCCAACTGCACCTGCTGAAAACAACACCAGAGCCATCATCAGCACAGCAGGGAGTTAAAAGCACAGCTCTTACTAACCAACTTTTGTCCTGCTCTTTAAAGCAACGTCATCTAAAGGCCAGGCAAAACCCTGTTGCTTGCAGCACACAATGCCTACAACGCCGTGATGACATAACAGGAACTAGCAGTCCAACCTTCTTGGCAATGACTCGGCTGCCTGGTCTCCAGCACTGGCTAGGATGCTGTGCTCCGCTGCCAGAGTGAACTTAAGCTGTTTGTGGATGCCAGCAGCAAAGCTCATGATGAAATCAGTGAAAAACATCTGCTGACTCCTGGTCAAAGCCAAAGGAAGTTCCCTGCCCTTGAGGTCCGCTCAGCTGGCAGATCTCATCTACCCTGACCCTGGAGCAGCCTTGCTTGTGTCCTTCGGAGAGTACACTCTGCCCCTAGCAAAGCCCTAGATACATGGAAGAATTTTCAGAAGTGCCTAAGTGAACCAGGAGCTCAAGTGCCAACGGGAGTCTGGCGCCTACATGCTCAGTGCCTGGGGCACATCTACACTGCATCACATCTCAGGGGTAGGAGAAAGTTATTGGAAGTCATTTGAAAGACAAAAGGCACAACCTGGTTTAATACTTGCTCTGGACATCGTATATAGGCATTCACCTCCACGTCACCCAGGCAAATTACTGGCCCCTATTTAATATGGGGACAAACAGATAGAGGAAGGGTTTAAGACCTTGGCAATCTTCCTGTCTTGTTGGTCAAGTGCTGATAATGCTGGCTGTTACCCTGGCAGCAGGACCTGAACAGATGCATGTTAGAGACTTCAACCTGGATCAGAGATGTGTAAAATGTTTAAGAGCTGAGCATCAATATGAAGACATTGGACCACCAGGACAATCCTTGGAGCAAGACAGCATGGAGAAAAGTTTAAATGCCCACAGATGGTTTGAGTTTCAGCCAAGGAGAGAGTTCAAAGCCTGAGAGGCCAGGCACAGCCAGCTTCTGGATTGCCAGCAGAGACTGCAGAGCCTCCATCGGCTCACACAGCACTAGCACAGAGGCGTGGGAGTGTTCCTCAGCCATTCCCGACAGCGTTCAAAGAGGGGACTTCCCACTCGTGAAGTGCAAGACATACTCGAGCTTCCCACCTGCCTCCTTTTTCTGAGCTTTGTAACTACTTTCGCAAGCCTGAGGATCACGCTGATACATCACAGAGTCCATCCAAAAAAACCCTTGCTTGTGTTTTAATTGTGCATGGCTGAGCTGGCAGCTGACACAAACATTGCTGTGGGAGGGCAGTTCCTCAGGCAGCCATCTGCTGCCCCACCAGCCATTCGGGATGGGGGGAGATAGCTCATTCACTCACTGAAGTTTGTGGAGTGCATTTACCCCAATGTACTTTCAGCTGCAAATCTGACTTGTCTGTGCACCATGGGAGCTTTAGGCACAGGACTGCAGGATAGCAAAGACATCAGCTGCACCAACCCAGCAGCAGAGCAGAAAGGCATCATGACTCGCACACCTGTGAGTCAGCATCCCTCCCCTCCTTCCTCCCTGATCTCTTGAAAATGCAATTTACTCCTGGTCTCTAACAGCAGTAAATCACCACTCCCTCTCCTCCACTCCATGCCCTGACACCACAGTTAAGGCTCCTCACATTCCTCACCTGCCTTCTCTGGAACAAGCTGGTGAGAAGCATCATGTCCAGGCCTAGACCCAAGGTAATGGCTCAAAATGCTGAGCCCTTGCTCTCTGAAGATCAAGTGTCTCAAGTTGCCCCCCCCCCCCCCCCCCCACAAATGGAGACACCCCAAAATCACTAGTGACTAACAGAGATCTTGACAATTACTTTTTCTCTTTCTCTTGCACACAAGTCTCTTACATACCTGCTGCAGCAGACGTGATCTTCATCTGTGATTTCTTCTCCTGAGGGCACAGGCCGGGGGCTGCGCTCTTCCTCAATAAGTTGTCACTAGCACAGGTCACTTGCTTTAAGACAAAAAAAAAAAGTCCAATAAGGAGCCCACAAGTGAGGATACAGATGGAAAGCTCTGCTCCAGAGTTCTCTCAATGTCTCCAAGCCGGGCAGCATGGCTCTTTGGGCCAGACTCAGAGAACGTGGCAAAAGTGAAAGAAGCAGGCACAGGTGCTATGCAGGGGATCTACCAAGGGAGGTCAGTTCTCTTTATACAGTTTCCTATTGCTGTGGTTAGCAATCACTGCTTGTGCTGTAAGTACCCGCTCCCCATTAAGTCTGCTATACTCTTACGATCACATGGATCACTGAAATACCCTTCCATGGTAACCTGTGTGCAAGTATCTCAAAGCCCTTTACGAATGTTAGTGACTATGTCTCTCAACCCTACTGTTGTTACTATTCCTATTTTGCAGATAGGGAAGAACTGCTCAGAGGTCAAGCAACTTTTCCAGGATCACACAGGGATTCTGGGGACCAGCCGGAAAACTCCCAGTCCTGCCCCATGACCACTGTTCTCTGAAGCAGGTCAGAGGGACAGGGGAAAGCTGTCAAAACGTAGAGCAGGCTTGGGACTGCTTCCAATTACACTGTGTGTTGGGCAAGTCCCTAAAAGAGGTCAGATCCAAGAAGAGTGAGGAATGGGGTAATACAGAAACTGAGGACCAGTCACACAAACATCTATTCATTTGCACCAGCGTCAGCCTGCAGGTGTTGAGAACATTGCTGCATGCATTGCTAAAAGCCTGCAGGCCGAGACTATAAAATGCAGCATTTTGCAGAGATGCCCAGCCATGCTGTCACAGCATTTGCAACCACCCTAGTTCACCCGCCACTAGGCACTCAACTGCACTGTACCTCTTCTTGATCCATTTTAGTCAAAGGTCTGTCCTCAACTTTATGTCCTTTGGCAAAAGGATGGCCCTGGAAACCTTTCTGCTTTAGTTTTGCCATAGACACCCAGGCTGGTTCAGAAGAAGTAGTTTCCAAGTGTGGACCAGGGACTTTTTCTACAAAAGAAGCATATTCACAGCAGAGAATGGATTTAGGTTAGCCAAAAGCTAAAGAGTCTGGTGCTTTAAAACTGTCAGCATCTATCCTGTTCCTTGAGAAGTGGGAAGACAAATCTGCTTTACCTGCTGATTTTGTCCTGGCTCCTTGGCAATAGCTGATGTTAATCCTGTTTTTCTGCTGGAGTCTAAACCTGACCTCAGGCCCACTGAAGTCAATGGCAGAACTCCCATCAACTTAAATGGAAGTAAGATTAAGCTTTCAAAGCTACATGCTTTGAATAAATGTGGTATCTTTCTTACTTAGTCCAGCTAAAAACAGGCTGCCTTTCCATATCCCAAATATTGTGTGTCAGGTAATTAAAAAAAAATCACAATTAAAGTGACAACTGGTTATGCTCTAAATTGCAGTAGCCTGAAAATCATGTATAAAGCACCAGCAAATTTCAAGAAGCATAGGTGAAAACTCCTCTATGTGAAGATTTGGCCCTCCAGCTACTGTGTGGTTGCTACTCTTTCCTGCTCCTACCACATATATGGAAGCTAAGAACTCTGCCAAATAGCCAAACTCAAATTATGAGGCCAAATTGCAGCCCTGATGTAACCCAGATGATGGCAGAGCTGAATGTGGTTCTCTGCCTTGGGGTCTAGGCTATCAGAGAGAATTTATACTCCTGTTAATTGTTTAGCATGGCTATTGTTCTCAACAATTTTGGACAAAAATACAGTGCAAATACCTGAAGATTTGCTGCCATGCTGCTTCTTTGTCACTTCTTCAGGTTTGCTTCTAGGAGGACTTTTTCCTTCTGGGAGATCAGATTTTTTAGCTAATGATTTTGTGCTGCTTGGCAGGCCCTGAGATGGCTTTCCAGTGCCAACCACTTTGTGATCCTCCTTGAGAGAAGCAGGTGCGAGAACCTGAGTCGTTGATGGAATCAGCTTCGGGGACTCATTATGTGCATCGCTGTGATACTTGAGTAAGGATGATGTTCTTCTCAGTCTGACTCCAAATGGGCTTTCAACATTTTCTGCCCACTCCATGCAGGAGTTCAAACCGCATTCGCTGCCCTTATCAAAGCCTTCTGGGCTGTTCTTGATAGGCTCTTGCATGGCTGCGTCGAAGTAAGCATGTTCTTTTGCCGTTCCTTCAAAGAACTCTGGGCGTATGGGTGATGTTGGGGAGCTTCTAGCGCAGGAATCTTCCTTGGAACTGGACCCCCCTGAAAGAGATCTTTGCCAGGCGGGAGCAATGGTGAATCGAACTGGCTTAGTAGCAGCAGATTTGAGTGGAGTCTTCACACTGTCTGAGGATTTGCTTTCTTTCTTTCTTTTCTTTTGAGAAGTGATGTTGCCTGACTGGTTCTCCTTAACATCACCATTAGAAGGGAAATAACTCTTGAAACCTGCCAGACTTGAGGAGGCAAGGCAGCCGACGGAAGGTTTTTCCAAATTGTCAGATGCACCCGTCTGCTGATTGCCCTGACTAATCTTTGAAACAGGACAAGGCGTTTTGGCAGGTAATTCTTTGCTTGCTTTGCTCTGAGGCAGCATGCAGTCTACATCTGAGATGGACACAGATGAGCTTTTTTCTGTTTCTATGTGGTCTGTGGGTGGTTTAAATTCTATAAATTTGCATGTTTCTTTAACATCTTTTGGTGCCAATGTGTCTTCAAGCATGGAAACGGCCATCTTCTCCCTCTCAGCAGAAGCCTCCAAAATGGCTAAATGAACCTGGGATATACACAGAGCAGGATCTGGGTTGGGCTGGATGAAACTGCTCTCAGTAGTACATGGATGATCTTCAGCTTTACCTCCAAGCATCAGACCCAGATCTTCAGACTCTTTGTCACTTTGGTCCATAAGGTTTGTTACAGATCCCTGGATGGCATCTTCCACTGCATTTACAGCCTCCTTTTCCATGCAGTGGCTACCCAAATCTGATGTTAACGTGTCCAGAAAGACAGCTGCTTCTGTTTCAGCCTGTAGGGAACCAGAGGGTTCAATTTCTTCTGGATCAGTATTTTGCTGATGTAATTTGAATTCACCAATAGATTCCTCAAAGCAGCAAGATCCTGATTCCTCCTCTGCTTTGGTCTCTTCCTCAGCCTTCACTAGAGAAGGTTGAACCTTCGGACAGGATGCAGATACTTTACAGTGATGGTCTGCTTCTGTAAAGCATGAATCTTCTTGCAGCACAGTACAAAATACTTCTGCCATTGGGAGGGAACTCCAGGAGTGATCTGCAACATCAGTAGCCTTTGTTATGGTTGGTAGCTCCTTAGCACTACTCCCCTTTACATTTCTCTCTTCCCGGA